CAGGAATATTGATGCTGCTGCCAAAAAAGAGCTCTAACATGATTAATCGGTACATACGAGATCCTCATGGGGAGAATCATTTTCTCCAGGGATCAAATGGACTGGAGAGAATAAGCACGGAAATTAAGAGTGACGCTCCTGAATATGATGCACAGAAATGGAAACCAGGAGCCTTGTATCATATTAAACACTAGGTAAGTCACAACCTCTATATCATATTTTCCCCACTTTTTGAATAAATAATATATACTTCAGAGCAAATGTACTTGAAACTTCACATGTTTACCACTCAATCACATGCAAGGCCTTGGAACAACTGTTGAAGGAAAGAATGGTTAACAGTATGGCAACAGTGGAAAAGTGGAATAAAACACTACGTATTTATCACAGGTTAGACGCTAAGCTAGTATGGCACAGTATTTGATGAGACAGACGATTCCAGCCAAAGAAAAATATTGTAGAAATATTTTGACTGGATTTCAATGAAGTATCAGTACAGTGGCACACAGGAAAACAAAGCGAACTGGAGATGAGAAGGAAATGACTCATTTACAAATAGGGATGGATAAGGTTAGCAGACTTCAAGGTTTGGGCTCAGGGCCAAACCTTAGTTTAATTTACAGTCTTAGCACATACGTATCAAGAATGTGCTGATGAAATGTGGTTGCAACAAAGTTACGGCACAGAAGAAGGCCATCCAAAGGTTTTGAGTGAAGATTTCCCACGGTCCAGAATTATGGCCACAGTGGTTTTACTTAAAAGACCATTCTCATCTCCTATTTCCCAACTCTAGTAACAGAAGACAGCAGTTACTGTTACTCAGAGAAAACGTGTCCTCATTTTAGCGAGCAAAGATAACGAATGCAGTACTCAAGGTGGCCAGTCTAAGACATGTCTCCATATCAAACAGTATAAGAAACTCCTCTACTGAGGAATCAGGATATAGTAGCTTTCTCAAGGAGAGCTGTTGCACATAATGTTTTTGTTATTTGTTGGTGCCTGTCAGAAAATACACTATAATATAAAAGAATAATAGAAAATAACCACTCAATCTTATAAAGGAATACAGTTCTGCAAGTCAGACAAAACATTACACTGAAGATTTCCCCATGGAGTTAAAGCTCACCGAAACAGTTGCTTTATTCTATTAGTTAGACCATTTGAGTGAAAAAAAAAAAAATAGCCTGACATTTACTCCCTAAGCTTAAAGACCAATTCTTTAACTCCATCTAAAACCAGTCAGCCCATGTTTAAAGAACACTAATTTTGGAGGATTTGTACTAGACTCTTTACACATAATAAGTTAGTTGAATCCTCCAAAGTGCAAGACCCAACTCATCTTTAAACAACAAACCACGAGCAGGAAAAGAACTGCTAAATAGAATACTGACTAGCAGAGAAGTAAAGCTTCAGCAAATGGAAAAGAGGTCATCAAATAAAATTTGAAATAAGATGAGTTGGAGAGATAGACATAAAAAGGTTGTTCCAGACTGTAGATCTGCAGAGAAAACTCTGCCAGAGTAGACAACTTATCTTTGAAATGCAGCTGCTTGACATAACCCTGGCAAAAAAAAAAAAAAAAACTAAAAAATTTTTCCTGAGGGACAGTTGTTTCTAGAGCTCTACTTTTGCATTGACGTAGGCCACTTTCTCCTTCACAAGCATAAGATAAAACACAATTCTTAGGAACAAGTTATAGTTTCCAGCCGTAAATAAGGAATCATTATAATTGAGTAGGTAACCTCTGGTCCCCTCGAGAGCAGTCTCTTGTCTTGGGAAACAGCATACATTAAACAAGCCAAGCCTCTTTGATAGATGTAAAATAAATACAGATAAAAAGGTAATCTCATCAACCAACTAGAAATGCACCTGAGAGCTGCAAGAGATTTATAGCAAAATATAGGCATTGATAACATATTATTGTAAAGCTGCACAGGAGTTATCATAGGAGACTTGGCTGAAGAACAAAATCTCACATAACTGCATCTTACAACAACAAAGCTTCACATAACAACTAGAAATAGTTATTTCACACACATTTATTAATAACGCTATGTCAGGCATTTGAAAAGTATACATAGAATGTTTTGTCTCATTCAGATTGCTGTTGATTATAGCTTTTAAATATATTTCTCCAGTACGCAAGTTATGCAGCACAAGAAGAAAAAGGGAACAGGGTAGGTGACTTCATGCCATAAATATTTTTCTTGTAGTTGATGTGTTTTTACCTACAGAATTCTGTGACAGAATTTTTCTCAGGAAAAAAAAAGTATAATTAGTTCATTCTCTTTTTAAAGCGAGTTGAGGATAGCTGCTCTCAGCAGCCCTTTTTACTGTATCCTTTACGTTGTCCCCAAAATAAATCCTTTAAAAATATTATATGAAATTTAATTATAAATGATTAGGTGCCAGATGTTGCCTGCAAGCAAAAGCCCTTAGAGACTACATATAGGCAGGAGAGCCATGCATACCAGGTGCCACACAGCTTTGAATGCCGTGTAAGTTCTCAGCTCCAGCTATGAAGTAACACTTTAATAAATTCGATGAGCACAAAAATGCTCAGGGAAGCAAAACAATCATAATTAGCCCAGTGTAGAGCGCAGCAGAGTGACCTA